CTCTCTCTCTCTCTCTCTCTGTGTCCAGTACTAACCTGTGAAGTTGGCGCCTTGATGCAGGTACCTCGAAGATGGAGCTGGAGCTATGGCGCCACAGGTAAGTACCGCTTGCCTCCGCCAGCCATCTCTCCCAACTCTATGATCTACCACCTAATAGCGCCCAGCGCTGAAGACTACAGCTATCGCTATGGGCGGCCAGCGCCGAAGACTACTACACAGACTGAGAACACTGCTGATTTCTGGGATTTGCTGCTGGAATGAATGCCTTGCTGAAATTCCCGCATTCTGCTGTGATTTCCATCTCTGTGTGTGTGTGCGTGCCTGCTGGTTTGCATGCCTGTCTGAGTGCTTGTCGGCTGAGTGTGTGTGTGACCCGCAAGGGTACTTGTTGGTTGAAAGGCCCCGCAGGGCCGGTACTTACCTATGGTCGTGACTGTAAAGGGTTGCTGGGGGGAAAACACTCAAGTAGCGGGGGTAGGCCCGCAGCACTTAGAGCAGAGGGGAAAAACACTCAAGTAGCAGGTAGGCCGGTACCACTTAAGTAGTGGGAGAAGTGTCGGGTACTGGAGGCCGAGCAGAAGAAGACAAAAAGTTGGCATTTTTAGAGGCCCAGTAGCGGTAGGCTAGAGGTAGGCCGGTACCAGTCCAAGTAGCCCGGGTCTAGGGCCTGTCTGGAGGTTAGCAGAGCCTGCAATGATGTTTCCTCCGAAAGGGCGGAGGTACCGGTTGCTGCGAGGCCGCTCGGCCTAGGAAGTCATCGCCCAGGAGGCCAGTAGGCCGCTATATCTTTCGGAGGAGCAAGTAGCTCCTCATTTGCGGTGCAAGGATTGGTGACATGCTGCTGGAGCACAGCGCTGGCTGCTACAGCGCTGCTTGGAGGTGAACGGCAGCTGGAGCTCAGCCTGGCTATGGCGAGCGGTCCAGCTTGAGGAGGAGGAAGAAGGGGGCGAAGGAGGAGAGTGGCGAGGCACCTACCTAGCTATGGTGGATTCCGTCTTCATCACCTTGTTGGGTGCTGCATCTGGAAGGCCCCAGTTGGGGTGTGCTGCACCAAGGAGGCTCGAGGCAGGGTCATGCATGGCAGACCAGTCAGCGGCAGCATAGCTCCTTTGGGTTGTCCTTTGGACAGGAGTGCAGCGCCATAGCTTCTTTGAGTTGTCCTTTGGACAGGAGGGCAGGGCCCTCATTAGTCCGCCATAGCCTATGCATGAGAGAGGAGGCTGAAGGAGGAAAGCCATAGCTATGGTGGACTTGTTGTTGTTGTTGTGTTGTTGTTGAGTCAGCAGTAAGAGGGAACTTTGGATATTGATTCTGGGTCATCCATTCATTGTTATTATTATTGTTGGGAGAAGAATAAGATTGGCGAAGTGAAGGAGGAGGAGGAAGGTGGAAAGAGAAGGGGGAATTGTCATTGGTCTTGCTGGTGTACATCTTCTTCTTCTTCTTTCTCTCTCCTCTGGTCTCTATCTCTTTGCACGTGCTTTCATTTCTTTCGCAATTGGGTGGCATTGTCTTTCATTGTGAATTCGCACTTTGGAAATGACCAGGATCGTAACATCTTCTTTTTTTGACCTATTTGCTCTTTCTTTTTTTAGTTGCCCCTTGGACGAAGAGGCGCCAACGGGTGGCTGCTGTCAGAGTGAAACGATAAAATCAAGCGCCACTTGGCGCTTCCTGAAGTGACTGGGGACTTATAGTCCCCAGTGAAGATGACAGGCAACCGTTGCAAATGGGCAGCCGCGTTGTTTTTAGGAAAAATCCTCTGTTTTTTTTTTTTCCTTAGATTTTGCTTTAGATTTTTTTCTTAGATTCTTTTTCTTTAGATTTTGTTTAGATTTTTTTAGTACTTATGAATTGAAAGCCGTACCCGTTCGTTTTCGGACGAACGGCACGGAAGACGGAAAAAAAAAAGAAGAGGAAAGCAAAAAAAAAAAAAGTATGACTGTGAGAGACTGTTTCGTTGGACTTCACCGACTCACACCCGACTGTCCATCTCTGGATGGACAGGGCCCGAATGAATTGGCCGATTTGTGCGCCTACATTTAGGAAGACAGGAAAGACGTTTTTTGTTTTTTTTTTGTTTTTTTTTCTCTTCGTTTTTTCTTTCCCCTCTCAGCTAGATGAGCAGCTGCGCCCGTTCGTGATGAAAACGGGCAACAGCTGTGTGACTAGCGCCCGAACTTGGCAATGTGGAAGCCCAGGTGAGGGAAGGTTTAGAGTAGGAAAAAAAGGGGGGGGGGGATGAGAAAAAATAGAACGTCGTGAATTTAATTGCGACGTAGGGCCAGATGCAGCACTAGAAGCATCTAGGCCCTTATGTGAAAGCATTCAACAGTCTGTTTTCAATGGCTTGATACAGCCATTTTGGACTGTGTCTGGCCACGGGTGAATCCCAGATGCATTACCAGGGCCTGGAACTTGAATCCCCTAGGGGAACATCAAGATTTCCAACCTTTGATCTCGTCTGAGATCAAGCGTCAGGGCCTGATCTGAGTTTTTGGCTGAGGACAAAGCTGCTGCCCTCGGCTGGCTATAAAACAAGCCAGCAGACAGCCAGCCAGCATTCATTTGTGGCTGATGTTGCTGGCATTTCACTTGAGTGAGTGCTGGCTGCTGAAGGAGGAGTTGTTGGCTAGAGTTAGAGAGGGGGAGAGTGGAGGTCTGCAAGAGGGTTGAGGTTGGAGGCTGCCATAGCCACCACCTCTGCAAGGAGGGAGAAGGTCGTTGGAGTGATGCAGCTGCGGCATAGCTGGAGGAGATGCGTGCTGCCTTGGTCGCAGCCGTTGGCAGCAGCGCAAGGGAGGTGCTGCCTGTCTAACACAGCAGCATTTCAACAGTGAGGGGGAGGTGTTGCGCGACCATCACGGCAACGACAGCCATAGTTGGGAAAGTGTTGGGGAGATGCTGCGTGGTTTTGGTGGCAACGACAATTTTCGTTGATGTACTGCGGGAGCGCTGCTAAATTTTTGTAGCGGCGGCGGTAGTTTTTTTTGTGTGGTGACGAGGAAGCGCTGCCGAAATTTTGCAGCGGCGACATTGGTATTTGGTGGTGGTAGCGTGGAAGCGCTACTGGATTTCGGCAACAGGTACTGGATTTAAAAGCAGTGGTGCGGAAGCGCTGCCGATTTCTTATGGCGGTGGAGGTAGTATTTTTGCACTGACTGCAAAAAGCTGTGTCTGGGCATTGGTGCACGGAAGGTGCCGCCAAAGTGATAGTGCACTTTGAAGTGGTATAAGTGTGACGCTGCAATGACGCAGTGATATTGGAGGCGAGTGACGACGACACTTAGGTGCTATCAAATTGTTGGGAGTGATAGCATGTTGAGGGAGTGTCGCGGCAGGTGATTACTTTTGAGGGAGAAGGTGTAGACACCTTGTTAACGACTTGTTGCGACGATGACGATCCTTTTATCAAGTGGCGAGGTTCTAAACGGTCTTCTTGAGTGGACCGTTTTTGCAAACTTCACTCAAGGTCAGTCTGCCAGTCAGTTGACTCAGTTTCCCTTGCACACCTGTGTGAACCCACACCTTGCATGACCTTGCTTTCAATTCAGGGAAAAGGTAGAGTGAGATGTGTGACGTCATGCATGTGAAAGGGGCTGACTTTGGTTGGGAATGGATGATTTCATTTTTATTTTTTTTGGTTGACATGGCAAAGAATATGTGTGAGAAGGGATCGACATTTTGCTTGCTCAAGGGAGGATGGAAATTTTACTCTTCTTCAACTCTTTACCTGTCGGTATGTCAGAAGAAGAATATAGTAAAAAAGAAGAATTGATGGGTGCCGGAAAATTGGAATTCGTGGATGACGAAGATGAAGATAACAGATAATTTAGTACCTTCCCCCAAGGATCATCCCGTTTTATCCCGAATGACCATTTCCCTCTGTACCTATCCAAAAAAGAGTCTTAACTCCTCCTTCGAACTGTTTTCTGATTCGTCTAAGTCAACCCTCAGTAGGAAGGTATAAAGAAAACGTCTACACCTAGAGATTGGGACTTCTTCTCTCTAGGAGGCATCCGGGGCAGGCGTTCGTTGCTTTAGGAGCCAGCCTTGTTATTGACCCCGGGTGAACCGTTTAACAGGGGAATACCATGTTGTATTGCACTGGAGCCAGCCCAACTTTTGGGATCTGAACAATGTGTTCGGGCGAGGAGGAGGGGTATTCCAGACCACTTTCTAGAGGGTAGGATGTCCTGCAGTAAAGGGTAGCCGTTTTCTCATACTTTCAAGTGGGGGAGGACTGAATTTAACACCTTCCTTTGGGTGGCCGTCTTAGGCGCCACCAACGCATGGGGAACTGGTGCCAAAAGAAGCCCAGTTCATGTCTCAAATAGTGTTGAAGAAGTGCAAGTAGGCACTACTTTCGCGGTAGGACCGTCACACGGCCCGGGGGGGGGGGAATGAGAATTGAGTACAGAGATTGGTATATATAAATTTATTTTAACAAAGTCGTTACTTTGTCGTCCAGATGTCCATAGGACCAGTGATCCTTCGATTATTCAGCAAGCGCGAGGCGGCGATAGATTGGATAACAGTGCCGACACGATCACGTGTTGGTATGATACGAAAAGGACGTTTGGTTTATAACCCGCATGAACTTTTCTCGAAACGAAATGAGTCGCGGTTTTGGGATGGAAGTGTGAGGAACCCACCGCGGAATTATATTTTCTTGGTAGAGCATGAACATCATATTGTGAGGTATGAATTTGCGCCGCCTAATCCATCCCGAGATTACGGGGACATGAATCTCGCCGTAGTTCATGAAACGAATCTAGTTATAGAAGACATTCCTGAGGTTAGAGGAATGTTTCTCTATATTGTGTTGTGGCTAAATGATCAGCAAGGTCCGTTCAATCTTTTTCATCATGTGAGGCGAGTGCGAGCAAATAGATTTAGCATTTGTCGCTCTGAACGCTTTGACATCGTCACATTCGATGATGAGGCTTATGAGATCTAGCAACGTCTCTTTTGACTGACGACTCTTTCGGGTGTGCAGATGACTAGCGGACAACGAAACTTAGTCAGACCAGATACTTGCTGCTCGCGACACTATGGATGAGGAGTTGATTCGGCGTGCGGAACGACTTTTATTTGCGCAGGATGGGGAACCCACTCGTTGGGTTGGTTTTGTTGGATTGCTTAGAGATGGGCGAGGATTTTTCCCAGACTCGCACGCGGATGTCCGTGCTAATGTAGCCCGCCTTCCGAAAGAATTTCATGAATATACGTTGTATTTCCATCGTGCGAGCAACCTCCAATGCCTTTCTCGGGTCATTGTGAGCGTTAAAATTACCCTGTCCAACGAGCGCTACGGCGTCATCCGGATTAAGGACACCACGACTAGGCACCTTTTCCGAATGCGGCAACCATTTCACGCCATAGTTTGGAGGTTAGCTTCACAAATGGCTTCCCTCTATGGTATGCGGCTAGTTCGAGTTATGCGAAGTGAACGCATTACCACCTTGAGTTTTGATGACAAGGAGCTTGCCCGACTCCACCGGATTGAGGCTTAGGCCAGCGAAGGCCGACAAATGATAGAGTCACGCTTATACGACTCTGCGAGGGTAATAATAATAATAATAAAAAATAAAAATAAAAAAAATCTTTTGTAAATAGGATCAACCAGATGGACAGTATTTAGATTGCCCCAATGATTGCACTATCATGCTTATGCATTGCGGGGTAATCACACGCATGGCAATGTAGGCTGTGTGTAAGTTGGCTGAAGTGAGGGAATAATTTTTTCAAGTTGAATATTTCCTTCGGAAGGCACACGAATAAGGGTTTTTGCGGCTTAAAGGTGAAGGTTGATACTTCATCCTTCAAGATATGGAAAGGGTAATTATTTGGTAGGGGGACAAAGCAACCAGCAAAATTTATACACATCTCTAACTGAGGTATGTATATCGCGGGGGTGTGGTCGAACCAAGAATTCAAACTTCGGCCAGGAACCAAATCACTTGTTGATTTGCATGGTAGCAGTGGAATTTACTTGCCGAAGTTATTCCTGGCAAGGTCTAGCAGATGTCGACAGACCAAACCGTAAGTCAAAGGTTAGGTTGTCCTTCCTAATTTTTCGTCAATATCGAGCCACCGCCTAGGAAGCGGTGGTATAATAGTCTCTTCAGTCATAGAGGCCGGAAAGAATAACTTAACTTTGGCAGATCATCTCATCAAGTCACAATTTTATCTTGTGCGATTTGATAAAAGTGTATTGATTTTATTTATTGTGTTATCACAGAATTATGAAGGGACTAGGATTATAATGTGGGTGTCATGTTTGGTTGAGACCATCCTAGTCGACCGACGTTCATTTCGTACCTAGGAGATCCACGCCCTAGGAGTCGGACAACATTCGGGTCCACTTGGCGTTAACCAAGCGTACCTATACTCCAACAAACGAGTAAACACCCTTGGCTGACCTACCTCTGCAATTGCATGTAAAAGCTTTCGCACGTGGGTCAGTAGCTCAGTAAGGATACGTCCCTGAGGGTGGTGACAGCCCCTTAGGGAACGCAAGATGTGCCCCGCGAAAACCTATTCCGTCGTAGGCGACTGTGGGAAGTACAACTGGCGCACTCGGCTAGAGCGACGAAGCAGCGATGCAACCATGTCCATCTCGATGGTCCACGCGATTATTTATGCATCGTCCTATTATGTATCTGCGTGACATAGCTGGAAAGGCTCCCGCGCTTTGCAAAAAAGAGGGACCCGGTGCATTCGACAGGTGGCGTCGTTGTCGGGGACAACGACTATCTATCGTTGTCTCTGGTGGAACGACACTTGAGAAAATGATGGTTATGGTAATTTGAAGTGTTGTTTGTTATTTGCATGGATTACAAGTAGTCGGTGGTTATTAATGTCTGGAAAAAGAAAAACAAGACAAGGTTCGAAACGACTTGTTAAAACCTATGTAACGTTTGGATATGTGGTTTTGTTGTTTTGATTCACTCAAGATGACGGTAGGAAGTGTTGAACCCACAAATAGCAATGCAGGTGATTTACGCAATGATATTTTGGAACTCGCACGAACTATCCAGGAAGCCGACAATGAGAAGCCACAGGTGCCGAAAGTTCAGGTTCCATTTTTTTATGGCACCAATGCCTCAGCATGGGCTGACAAGTTCGAGCAGTTGGGAAGTTATTGCAAATGGTCAAGTGAGAAAATGCTTCAAATGGTGAAGCGATATTGTAAGGTCGAGTACCAAGATGAAGTGTTGGAGTTGGTGCGAGCCTCACACGATTGGCCGGATTTTAAAGCCAAACTGTTGAAAAAATATCAGTTGAGGGATCAACTCCTGGACCTGGCGGACTTGCGAAAAGTCAGCCGTCGAAAGTTCGGTACCACCAAACAGTTTCTCATGGAATTCGAACGAGTTGCTCGCTTAGTACCTGACCTCCCGGACAAAGATCGCTGCCTTATTTTCCTTGAGAATTTCTCAGAAGTTGAACAGCGGGAATTGGTGAAAGACATGAGAGGGCGATACGACTGGCCTAAGATTAAGGAGAACCTGTTGGCTGGAAGTTTCGACCAGATGCTTTACCGTCTCCTGAAGCAGCAAAAGGAGGATCGCGAAAAAGAGGGGGTAAGCGCGGACAAGGACCAAGTTGTTTACAATACTCTGACTGATATGCGGAATATGATGCCTGATATGGAGGAAAGGTTAAAATTTCAGGTTATGACGGTTCAAGGGAAAGCGTCAGTTGTGGAAGAAGCAAGCAGTAGGAGCAGTGAAGACGAAATTGAGGAAGAGGTGGTGACCCCTCGGAAGTTGACCAAGGCAGAACAGAAGGCCGTGAATCAGATGCGGGGAGGGCAAGGTACTAGTAAAAAGCAGCGGAAGAATAATGGAGGCGGCGGAAATGGCGGTATTCAGGAACAAGCGGCACAGGCTCCTCCTCAGCAACCCCAACCCTAGGGAGGAGGCCGAGGTCGAGGAAGAGGACAAGGCAATGGGGGAGGCCGAGGAAATGGGGGCGTTCGTGGCAATTGGCAGAACTGGTTTTGTAAGTATTGTGGACAGGAAGGACATGGAATACGGTATTGCCAGACTGTCACAAAAAATGAAAACGAGAAGGTCATATATATGGGGCGATGTTTATGATTTTGAAGGGAACCTTATCGATCCAAATGTGGAAGGAGGGATGAGAAGGGAGGTTTTCCGACGTATGGGGAGACATCTTCTTGCAACTTTTCGACTAGCTTCCCCAGAAGAAGCTAAACAATTTCAGTTGGAAGCTGCGATGGGACCATTTGACGCTTGAGGATCCTGTAGCAAAAAGTGAAAGTTTGAGCAAAGAACAGGAAGAGATATTGTTGCGAGCTCAGCCAGTGGTCAAGAGGACGAACCGATATCGGAAAGCTTTTGTTGAAGTATGCGCTGACATGGACAAAGAATGGCCTGGGCTCCCACAAGTTTTTTTGTTCGAAGGATGGGACAAAGACGGAGAAGGGGGTTTGCGGATGCCACGACATCCGACCCTGGCTCGTCGTCGGCAGGGTGTTTGATGGCCACCATAGTTATGTCCCGTCCTGCTCGCCTGCCACTGTCATTCTTCTGCAAGCTCAGAGGACTAGGAAACCACCACGGCAAAGGACAACACCTGAGGAGGGACCAAGTCAACCTCGACAGAGCGAGACGATTCCGATTGATGACGAGGATGGCAAGGAGGACGAATTGTTGCAGGTTGAGGATGAGCGGTAGGCCAAACAACGAGCCATGGACCGTGATCCAGAAAAGCGCAAGCCCGAAATTGGGGAAGGAGAGTTGAGAAAGAAGAAGCAAACTGTGGACCGGATCGTGGAAAGTCAATGTGATCTGTTCACGCTGAAGGAATTCTTAGCTGCGTCACCAAAAATTCAAGAGGAATTCGAACAGCGATTGTCCAAAAAAAAAGTCAGATACTGGGCTCGAGCTGGAACAAAATGGATTGGCACTATGTAGCAACTGGTCTGTTAAAAATGCAACTCTCATTGATGATGGGGCAAAAATTAATATCATGCGGGAGAGAGAGGCAATGTGGGCTGGGGTCAAAATCAATCGTGCAAATACTGGATTTCTGGTGAGCGCAAGTGGGACAACTCCCTTTTGTGGAACGGCGAGTGACATTGTCGGGATAGAAACCCTGAAAAGGGTATCTGCCATGTATTTTCAATGTCGGACGAAGTCCGAACTTTGATGAAAGCTTGTGGTAATTGGTCTGATGAAATAAGACATGCTATTGGAAAATTCCAACTCGTCCGCAGGTTTCGATTAGACCGTAGGGATGCGCGACTGTGGAAAGACTAAAGCTAGACCTATTCTACCTAAAACAATGTCGCAGCCGCGCGATTCAGGGCCTGGATAGGCTCAAAAAAGGGCGGCCGTGCTAGCAACAGGGCCGCAACGCAGAGAAGGTTTTTTTTTTTTTTTTTTTTTAAGCCGGGGGTTGTATCGCACGAAGGGCCTGGTGCCATGGTGGCTGGCTATAGGCTGTTGAGCCCCAAGCCTCCGGGCCAGGACAGCACCGGGTCGACAGCGGCGCAGTCATTGGCAAAGTGCGGCAGGCTGAGCCTGCCCTAAGCCACAACAGAGGATCCTACTGGGGGCAACTCTTCAAATAGAAGAGTTGCGGGCTTAGCTCCTGTGAAAGGAGCTAGCCCAATAGGAAAACACGCCGAACTGATATCTGATTGATGTCGAGATCGAATCCAACAAGCCCTACTGGGCGCAGCTCCTTTTGGAGCTGCATTTTTTTTGCAAGGCGCAGTCGATCTCGACCACATGATCGCAGAGATCGCGCGGCCGAGATTGGCCGCACGCAGATTAGCGTGGCCCCTGCGCAAGGATAACACGCATAAATCGAGAAATGGTCCGAATTTTTTCGATCCCGGCAGGGATCGAACTCGGCTCTGTATTTCAACATTTCGTGGGTGAGCCCACGAACGTTGCACGACCGTTGGCAAAATCTAAAAAAAAAAAAAAAAAAAAAAAAAAAAAAAAAAAAAAAAAAAAAAAGCAAACAAACAAACAAACAAACTAACTACAGCGCGACAGATGGCACAGGGAGATATGGTTGGGGACTTACAATCCCCAAAGAAGACAAGCGCCCGTTGAAAACGGGCAGCCGTTTTTTTAAGGTAAGTTTCCTTTTTTCTTTTCTTTAGATTTTCTTTAGATTTTCTTGTTAGATTTTGTTAGATTTTTTTTTATTTATTTATTTTTACGAATACTCGTTCGTTCCGAGCGAACGGGTGACCAGACTGTTTCGTCGGGGTTGCACCGACTCATCAGGAGGTTGGACCTCAACAGCCCGTTGTCGCGCCCAAATCTGACGTCAAAAGCGCCTAGGTTCGGGCAGAGAGAGAGAGAGAGAGAGAGAGAGAGAGAGAGAGAGAGAGAGAGAGCAGGACGTGAGACCAACCGCGCTGCAGGCCTCACGCCACAACTATCAATAGGTCGAGAAAAATTGAAAGAATCTACCTCTAGAGCATGGAAATATACATTTGTTGTTTGTTTGTTTTTTCTTCTTTTCCTTTTTCTTTGTTTCTTTTTCATTATTTTCAGTTCGTTCACGTCGTGTGACCGTTGGCATGTGGAGGACAAAAAAAAAAAAAAAAAAAAAAAAAAGCAACGAGGCAACTGCCTCGTCAAAACTACAATCTTTTCAGACTGTGTGGGAGCACATTGGCTCCCACCCCATTTGTGAAGAAATAACTATAGCTGCGAGATCCTAAGATCTCGCGGCTCACAATATACAGGTAGAGGTGAAGGAGAGAGAGGGAGGACGAGGCAGTTGGGAGGAGGAGGTCCTACTCCTCCCAAACTGACAACTGCCCTCCTCGTTTTCAGGGGAGGGCAGAGAAAAAGGAGGGCTGTTGCATGCAACAGCATGCACCTGGCCAAGGTAAAAGCAAGGTGAAGTAGAAATTACGAAGTTAGTTTTCTTCTTTTCTTTTCTTTTCTTTATTTAGTGTGAGGACACTTGTCCTCACCTGGTGCTACCTTTGGCAACTGTCAGGCTCCCGTTTTTGAAGGAAGCCTGAAAATTGAAGGACCACTAAGGAAAAGGCTAGGTGCAGCCTTTTCCTCGATGTATCTGCCCTGGGAAAAGGGTCCAGATACATCAAACTGTAAGGGGTTGTATTTCTCCAACACCTTATCATAAAAATAAAAGAAAAACAGATTTGGAAATGGCAGGAGCCCAGCTATCTCGTGAGATTCCAAGATAGCTGGAAAAAATAAAAAAAATAAAATAAAAAAGGGCAGTTAAAGAAACTGCCCCACACTAAGGTTGTGGCTATGGTGCGGCCACAGCTAGCCCTGGATCTTGGCCAGATCAAGGGCTCACTGTGAGCCCGCGATTTTACCTGGGGGCTGGAGTGACGTCCAGCCCTCCTCAACCACTATAAAACAAGCACCTGTCCCCAACTGCCACACAAAAGCATTCGTGCTGGCAAGTGTATGACGAGCACACTTGAGTGTTGCTGGGGAGCTGAGGTGCTGCCTGGAAGCTGGAGACCTGCAGAGGAGCGCGAAGGGAGGAGTTGGGCAGCCATAGCCAAGGTAAGGAGCACTCTGCTCCCCTCCCCTCCGGCTGGTTCTGGTCCCACGGGACAGACCCAGGGACGTTGTGGCACTACGGCGGTGCAGCAAAGTGAAATTTGGGCCCAGGGCCCAAATTTTACTAATTTTGGCCTGCCATTTTCTCACTACGGTGGGGAAGTGCTACCAAATTTTTGCGGCGGCAGCACTAAGATTTACGGCGGTGGTACGGAAGTGCTGCCGAAATTTTGCGGCGGTGGCACTAAGATTTACGGCGGTGGTACGGAAGTGCTGCCGAAATTTTGCGGCGGCGACACTAAGATCTACGACGGTGGTGTAGAAGTGCTGCCGAAATTTTGCGGCGACAACACTAAGATTTACGGCGGTGGTACGGAAGTGCTGCCGAATTTCTGCGGCGGCGGCACTAAGATTTACGGCGGTGACGAGGAAGCACTACTGAATTTCTACGGCGGCAGCATTAAGTTGACAGCGAAAGTGCGAAAGCGCTATTGATTTTTTTACGACAGCACAGGATTTACAGAAGTGTCAGCAGTATTTTGTGTTGAGCCACAACTGGGCATTGGCACAGTGAAGGTGCCGTTAGAGTGATGCGTTTTGAGGAGGCGTGGAATTGACGGCGCAGTGAGTGGCGGCGCAGTGAGTGGCGGCGACACTTACTGAAAAGTAAGTGAGGGGTGTTGTGGCAGGTGGTCACAGCAAGAGAGTGGTGTCAATCACTTTGCTGACGACTAGGATGACTACCTTCTCGTCAAAAGGAGCGTAATTCTATACGATCTTCTTGAGTGTACCGTTCAACTTCACTCAAGGTCAGTGGCTAGTCAGTTGACTCGGACCCTTTCACGCCTGAGTGAACCCACACTTTGCTCGACCCTGTTCTTTGAATGTTCACTGAAAGGCAAAGGAAATGTGTGTCTGACCCGAGTCTGGGTTTGCATTGCTTTTGTTGTGTTCAACTTGTCGTCTGATTTGACTGCAGGTGTGGCTTATTGAAATGGAAGTGAGTTTGACGGTGAAATGACTAATGTTTGGTTATTCTCATTTCTCCACAAGATGACGAAAAATAAAGCGATCACAAAGAAGAAAAGCCTGAATGGACATAGAATTTTCCCAAGGTCACCGGTTCTTTCCCGAATTACCCTCTCCGTTTACGCCTGTCCGTGTGAATGACTTTTCTTTCAGTGATCATTCCTCATTTAAGTTTTTCCTGACGTCAGGCAACAAGAAGTCATTTGCTCTCCGTGGTAAATTTCTTTACTTTTCCTAGGAGGCATCTGAGGCGGGGGTTCGTTGCCTTAGGGGCCAGCCCTGTTATCGACTCAGAGTGGACCGCTCTGTCAGGGGGTACCATGCTGTTGTGGTGGAGCCAGCCCGACTTCTGAGATCCGAGGTTTCCTCGGGCGAGGATGAGGGGTATCCCAGACCACCTCCTAGGAGAAGGACGGGTGTATATTCACGAAAAAGTCATGCGTCAGGAAGGACTGCTGTAGTATACCCTTTTTTTGGTGGCCATATTAGGAGTCACTGACGCTTGGGGAATTGGTGCCATAAGTAGCCCAGTTCATGTCATACTAGTTTAAGTAGAGTGCATATAGGCACTCCTTTCGAGGACGATTGTGCCAAAAGAAGCATGATCAGGTAGGCAAGGGAGTGTTTGAACAATACCCTGTGGCAGAGATTTTAACTTCATCATCCTCGTCTTTTTAGATGGAAGCAAGGACGACAGTCTGTCACCTTTTCTGCAATCGTGATGAAGCGGCAGAGCATATCGAGTCCCCGAGACTTAATGGAGAAAGATTAGAGAGTATAGGACGGCTCGTCTACAATCCTTATGAATTATACTCCGAGGAGGATGTCCAACGATTCTTGGGAGGCAGTGCTCGGAATCCCCCTAGACAACTTATTTTTAGTTCAAGGACCGGACTGGACATCCTACACTATGAGTTTGCGCCACCACTGCCCGAGCGTGACTTCTCTAATATGAACTTAGTGGTGATGCACCCATATGAGATTAATCCACGAATGGACGAGATCCCCGAAATAAGGCTGACGTTCGTTCGTTCTGTACTGTGGTTGAATGAACGACAGGGCCCTTTCTTCGACATATATCATACAAGGCGAGTACGGGCAAATAAGTTCGTCATTCTACGAGTTGAACAATTTTCAGAATATGCATGGCAGGAGGAGGAAGATGAACTCGAAGAACGACTACGCGACTAATACAGTTTTTGTTCTAATACGCAAATGCCTGGAGCACGAAGAGACTTGACGACCCCGAGGTACCTGTTGGTTCGTGATACGCACGAGAACGATCTCATCAGAGGAGCGGAGCAGCTTTTGCGGGTTCAAGATGGTTCTCCTACTGAATGGATCGACTTCATTGGATTGCTCCGCAACGGCGAGGGATTTTCCCTAATACTTGCGCGGATTTCCGAGCCAATACGGCTCGGACCCCAGATGAGTTTTTTGGATATACTTTATATTTCCACCGCGCGAGCAACCTCCAATGTCTCTCCCTAGTTATTGTGAGCATCAGGATTACCTCGTCTAGTAGACGCTTCGGCGTCGTCTGGATCCAGGACACGGAGACCCGACACCTATTTGGACTCAGTCGGCCTCTGCGAGTCATCGTATGGAGATTAGCCTTACGGATGATCTCTTTTTATGACACTCGGATCATTAGAGTCATGCGAGGTGGGCGGAGGACGACCCTGACATTCGACGACATTGAGCTTGCGTGACTGGATTCATTGGAGACAGGTGCGCGGAGGACGGCAGATCTACTTGGGATAGACACCGCCTTCTGATATTCTACTTGGGTCTCGGAAAACACCTCGCATAGACTTGTCCTGTTAAGGAGGTCATATGATACATGACTTCACGAGGTATTCTTTAAACAAAACAAAAACAAAACACTTTATTTAGATAGGACTGTCAGATGGATAGTATCTGGATTACCCCGATGATGGCACTATCATGCTTGTGCATTGAGGGGTAACCACACGCGTGAAAACGCATGTCAGAAGCAAGACGGAGACGTTAGCGAAGGTGGGATCGAACCGAAAGTTCAAACTTCGACCAGAAACCAGATCACTTGTTGATCTGCATGGTAGCAGTGGTATTTACTTGCAGAAGCTACCCATGAAAAGTTTCTGTAGGCACAATGTTGTCTTAAATTCAGACTTGGGAATGAGTCTGACTTTAGCTTAAAAAGGCTTGGAATGTGTCGACCATACCGACGACGAGTAGGAAAGCACGATAGCATGACCCTTTTTCGTCAGACCAAACCTATTAAAAAGTTGTGTTATAATTGTTGAGCTGATTGATATGAAAAGTGACTTCATGTGTATTATTTTTGGTGATTTCGTCTGAATAACTTATATACCTATATATATATGTATAAGGAAATTGTGTGCAAGGGACTAAGGTCAAGTTGTTATTGGTTTCTATCCTTGACTGAAACCGCCCTAATCAAACGCCGTACGCTTCATCCTTAGGAGATCAGCGCCCTAAGTGACAGACAGCGTCCGGGTTCAACAGGCGTTTTAATCTTGTATACCTATACTACAGCGTGCGAGCAAACGCCCTCGGCCGACCCATCTCTGCAATTGCATTTAAAAGCTTTCGCACGTGGGTCGGTAGCTCAGTAGGGATACGCCCCTAAGGGTGGTGACAACCCCTTAGGGAAGCAAGCTTATGCCCCACGGGAACCTGTCCTGTCGTAGGGGACCGCGGGATGTACAGCTGGCGCACCCAGCTAGAGCGGGGAAGGGACGACGTGACCGAGCACCGCCTAGGCGGCTCGCGAAAACTATTTTCGCATTGTCCCTAAGTTGTCTCCATGTTTTGTTATGTTGTGTAACTCCTGCATGACGTAGCCGGGAGGGCCCTCGCTCGCGCAGGGGCCGATGCGCTCGACAAAGTAATGATAAGCGTTGGTAAAGTCAAGGTTCGTTCATATTTTTATGTTCTACCAAGGGTTGAGCATGCCGTTTTATTGGGCAGAGCCTTCTTGTGTCGATCTGAATCCATCACCTTTAACAAGCATGATGGCACTATGATCGTGATTTGTGTGACCCTGTATGCCGCTACTATGAGGTGATGAAATGTGAAAATATAAGGCCGACCAATTCTAGGAACAGACTCGATCCGGATTCCTACTCTTTTTCAGAATCGGAAAGGCTCGGAAGGGAGAAAGAGTCTCTTGGAGAAGAAAACGATCCTCAAGAGCTCGTTGCGACGGACTCGTCTGTGGACCCTAATTTGGTCCAGACATTGACGGAGGTTGTGCCAGAGGAAGGTGGGACTGGTAAGATGTATCTTACTTATCGACCCAGCATGTTCTCTGAAGCTGAAGTATTGGAGGCACCAACAAAACCAAGAAGGGGCCTTTTTTAGAGGAAGGCGACTTAGTGTCGGATCGAAACGTAAGCACAAGAGAGTAGCCGAGAAAGCTCGGTCGGTGCCCGTCCTGATCGCACAAGAGAAAGAAATGTATTATAAGGAAGAAAGAGAATTGATGAAGACAAGGAAAGAAAAGAGTGCAAATGCTCCATATCGATTGACGGGGGAGAGGATTAAAAAGATGATCATTGGAGAGGAAGGATTCCTTATTGAGAAGAAGATGGACTTCCTTGTCAGCATCACGAAAATGACTCATTTGGCTTATACCTTTGATGATGATGAGCGGGGGAGGCTTGACGTTGACATGATTCCAATTATTAAAATTCACACGGTACCTCACGAACCATGGAACATACGAGGTTCACGTTATCCAAATCCGGACAATCATCGTAAGGTCATCGAGTATTTGGATGGCAAAATTCGGACAAGGGTCGCAGATTATTCGTATGGACCATATGCGTCCCCTTGGTTTTGTTTCATCAAGTCAAGCGGCGTATTGCGATGGGTGCAAGACTTGCAGAGGTTAAACGCTGTGACGGTTCGTGACGCAAGAGGATTTCCGCATGCCGATCAACTGTCTGAGTCGTGTGCAGACCGACCTATCATCACTCTTATTGACTTGCATTCTGGATATGATCAATTCCCTCTGTACACGTCGGACAGGCCAATGACGACCAATCATACACCAAGGGGATTAATCCATATGTGCTCGGCGCCTCAAGGATGGATGAACGCCATAATAATTATTCAGAAATATTTTATGAGAGTCATGCAACCGCTTTGTCCGAACGTGACATCACCTTATATCGATGACTTGGCCATCCCTGTACCGCGTATAAAGGATGAAACAAAGGTGCTGCCGGACGTTCGAAAGTTTGTTTGGGAACACATTCGTGGTATAGAGAAGGTCCTGTGCAAATTAAAGGAGTATAACCTCACGACACGCGACGTTAAATCTCAACATTGTATGCGTGAGGTGACTATTTTAGGGTTCGACCAGACTCCAAAAAGACAAACAAGATTTTGGAATGCACGACTCCGTTTAAATCCATCACCGATGTGCAAAGTTTTTTGGGGACTTCTCGATTCTGACGCATCTTCATTCGTAAGTTCGCTGCAAGGGTGGAGCACCTAGGTGCATAAAAATCAGGAATGGGAATAGGGTCCAAAGTAACAGGCGGCTATTGACGATATCAAGGCACGATTTCGAGAAGGAGGATTAATCCTGGGAGTTACGTGCTTTGACAATGACCCGAATCGGCCCTCAGACCCCACAACTTTGGGTGGAGTCCTCATCCAAAAGGATGGAGAAGGGCAAGAATGGTCATTGAGATTCGAGAGTCGAACGCTAAATGCGGCAGATCGAAATTATTTCCAATTTAAGAAGAAACTCTTGCAGTACTTCATTGCTTCAAGATCTTTCGAAATTACGTGTTTGGAAGGCGATTCGTCCTGCGGGTTGATCCSACTGCTTCGGCACAGTCACTGAATAATTATTCTCCTTCAGATCCAACAATTGCTCGATGGTTGATTTATATTTGAATGTTCGATTGTGAAATCGAACGTATTGCGGGAACTCAAAATCAAGCAGACGTGTTGAGCCGAATTGAATGGGATTCTTCCAAAGAKYAGGCAAAAAACTCGGTTCTTGTGGATAGTTTTCTAGAGAGGGACGAGCAACAGTTGAGTATCAATGCCTGGGAGTACATCACTAATGCTCCGTCCCGATCTGGGAAATATATCTGGAGTTCGCCGTGTTTTTATCAAGGACATTCAGAGCTTGTGTTGAGAGAGTCCTTCATTGAGGAAGATCCTTGGGGCCAAATTGTTGAGCAAATGATGAGGTTGGCGCTGTCTGACCCAGTTCAACTTTCGGAAGAGCCTCTTATGATTGAAGGAGGAAATGAGCACGGGGATGAAGTCCTCAAAATCTCTGGAGGAATGACATTTCTTGTTAATTTCTTGATCCATGAAGATCACTGCAGGGGATTGTTTGAAGAGGGAGAAGGCAGTGAAGTCAAGGAAGCATTTCGTGAGGAAGAGTATGATGGGGTTTATAAAAAGATTGTGTAATGACCCGTCATAACACAGACTSAGAACACTGCTGATTTCTGAAGTTCTGCCGATGGAATRGATGCCTTGATGAGATTCCCGCATTCTGCTGTGTTTTCTAAGTCTYTCTGTGTGTGTGCGTGCTTGCGACCTGCATGCCTGTCTGAGTGCTTGTTGGTATGAGTGTGTGTGGGACCCGCAAGGGTACTTGCTTGTTTGGTAGGCCCGTAGGGCC